ATCATCATCATCATCATCATCATCATCATCATCATCATCATCCTCATCATCAACATCATCATCATCATCATCATTATTTATTAATGAGGTGTGAAGGGGGGGGGGGAAGGGGGGGGGTAGTGCTGAGATCAGGAAGAAAGGGGTTAGAAGGGCACAACATTCTCATTTCCTGTGCTCCTCTTCTTCTCGTCTTCTTCTAAACATGATCGTGGGTTTCAAAAACAACAGGCAAGGAGTAGAACCTCAGTCGCTCACATGATGCTTAGACTTAGACAAGTGGTTTACAAAACTAGCCCGTGCCATAGTCAACTCTATTGCCGGACTGAACTAGCATCTCGCTCTCTACAACAGGTTAAAAAGAAATGAAATACAACAAAAATGAGACACAGACAGGAGAGAGGGGACGACAAAGACAAAGACAGTTTTGTAAATATTGAATTGAAAAGAACGTCAGGTTTTTTACTTTGAAGTACTTTTTTAGTACGAGCACTAATACTCGAATAACCACTCATGCCACCCAACCCCCAACCAAAATCCCTCTCCCCTATCCAAAAACGTTCTTCGTCTCTGCTGAAAGTTTTGCAAAAGTGAGATGGGCAATATGCCTTCTCTGTGTAAATATTTCACGAAAACTATTTACAGAATTTAGGACGCGGCGGGCTGCTTGACAATGAGCACCAGGGCCAACCAGGATTATGCGAGCAGAAAGACGGAAATGCTTTAAAAAATCCTCGCTTGAAAATCGATATCATTCCCACTGCTAGCAAGGTGGAGAGCTTAACCAGTCCACCACAGAGGCTGGCAATCACCTTGTACTACATGCAGAAACTATAACGATCTGGCCTTGGTTTCGATTTGATGCACTCTCCGTTATCCAAAGTGGATTTCCCACTAATGGAGTTGTGTTTGTACTCTACTCCTACACACAAGATTGACTTTGGATAGATGTGGGGAGGAGGCCAAAAAAAAATACTTCGGAGGGTTGTGGGGGGGGGGGGGGGGGGAATCCGGAACTGAAAGTGGAAAAGGGAAGAAAGTAAACAGGAGTGGAAAGAGAGAATGAACGTTTAGAGAGGGTTTGCGATTCCCTGACAGGAAATCGAACTCACGCCTTTTGTCTTTGCAAATAAGTCAAAGATCGTATAACTGTTACATCACATTATAGAGAGGAGAATAATGAAACGGCTTGATTGGATAAATTAAGGTTGTACGGTAAGCTGACAACTTATCCAGAAACGTGGTAACGAAAGAATAAGCGATTTGTAGTCCCCCCCCCCCCCCCCCTCGCCCCTTTTAACGGGAGAAAGGGGGGTTTTTTACTCTAAGATGTCGAATAAAAAGGGTGGGGGAGTAGGAATGAAAAGGAGAGGGGTGGACAAGCCGTCCAAAATTAACAAACGGGGGGGGGGGGGGGGGGGGGCACATTCAACCTCATACCCCTGTTTTATTTCTCCTTCGGTGAATAAAAGAACAAGAGATCATGAAATTTTAGTAATTTTAGTAAGTTACTGAGACAAATTTTCCCATTTAGGAACATTAGACCAGTTTCATTAAAAAAACATAAACCAATGTACGAAAGTTTTTAAAATGCACCAAAAATTGAAGTAGCCAACCCGCTACCGGTATTAATACTGAGTGTAATTTGCCATTTACCACAAAAAAATAGAAGTTTCATTCAGATATCTAGATTCCTGATATAATGTTTCACATGATCGTCGGTCGTGGCAAGCTAGAAAATAATAAACAGGAGGTATGGAATAAGGAGCGGTTGGGGGGGGGCGCGGGGGGGTGCGCAAAAAACTGAAAATTAATAAGCGGGGTTGAACGCTTATTCGATACCTTAGAGTATTAAGAAAGATACAGTCACACGTCCTGAGCATCGGATTAGGCAACTAAGAGAAATTACCCATTTAATCAGAAAAGCACATCAGTTGAAGTAATCGGGGTTTCAGTTCTCTCCCCTTCTATGGTCGACGTTTAAGTTCGTATTCAATGCACGTGTAATATCTCTCTCTCTCTCTCTCTCTCTCTCTCTCTCTCTCTCTCTCTCTCTCTCTTTCTCTTTCTCTTCTTTCTCTTTCTCTTCTTTTCTCTCTCTTTCTCTCTCTCTTCCCCCCCCTCTCTCTCTCTCTCGCCCTCTCTCCCTCTTCTTCTCTCTTCTCTCTTTCTCTTCTTTTCTCTTCTCTTTCTTTTGTGTGTATATGTATAGATAGATAGATAGATAGATAGATAGATAGATAGATAGATAGATAGATAGATAGATAGATAGATAGATAGGTAGATAGATAGGTAGATAGATAGATAGATAGATAGATAGATAGATAGATAGATAGATAGATAGATAGATAGATAGATAGATAGATAGATAGATAGATAGATAGATAGATAGATAGAAAGAAAGAAAGAAGGAAAGAAAGAAAGAGAAAGAGAGAAGTCGAGAGAGAGAGAGAGGGAGAGAGAGAGATAGAGAGAGAGAGAGAGAGAGAGAGAGAGAGAGAGAGAGAGAGAGAGAGATCATTTTAAAAGAGTCAGTTGCAAAGGGTTCTCGAAGTAAATCTCTTGTGCCTATTGGGCAGCATCCCACCATCCCTCATCCAATCATCCAAGCATCCAGTCATCCAATAATTCCACAATGATGTGGAGAAATCCGTAATGAAACATCCTCCGGGAAGTAATGAGGAATTTGAGATTTAAAAAGAGACTGGCAGCATGCATCCTTGCTTCTACTTCTATCCTCTTTGAGTGTGTTTATTTTTGTTTCTAGTAAGTGTGTTACGGCACTCGCAAATGCATAAGGTCATATGAGCGCGCGGAACACACCAAACATTTTCAGTTGGTAGGAAATTTTGATTTTTGCCCGCGTGGCAGCCGAAGCCTACTCTTATCTATTATGGACCCCCAAGGGATCTTTAACGTGCGCAACTTGCACACGGGACATCGGCGCGATTTTTCGCTCTAGTCTGAGAAAGCTAGGTGTAGATCTTTCCTACCAGAAGATCAGGGGTGTGGCTGCAGAAGGAGCCAGGAGCCCAGAGGAGGGGGCAAAGGGGGTGATGTGGTGGGGGCAGAAAGTGGAGACGAAAGAAGACGACAAAACATTGCTAGAGAGCAGGAAAGGAGGTGAAAGGAGAAAATTTTAGAGAAGAAAATTTTTTCGTCGCTACCCGGATTCGAACCCGGTAGCCTACCTTTGAATGAGAGGCGAACACCTTAACCTCTAAGCTATGAGAGCCCCCCCCCCCCCCCCCCCTTTTTTTTTCTTTGGGGGGGGGGGGGGGTACTTTTCCTTTAAAAAGGGGGGGGATTTTTTTCCCCCCAAAAAATTTTGACTCCCCTTTCCCCCAAAAAAAAGGGAAAAAAAAAAAAGCAAAATTGAGGCGGGTTTTA